AGACAACTAGGCAGCTCATAATAACGCTTATATATAAGTGTATACACATACTCTATATCCACAAGACATAAGAAAAAACACACACGTCTCTTAAAAAAAACATATATCCTCCAGTGAAAAGATGCAAAAAATTCCGACTTGGTTCGCCGTTCCGGCCTGTATGGCCGTCTTGTCCGTAATTTTGTATCAGACACTAATTTTGCCGGACAAGGTAGAGGGCGCCAAAAACATACTGTCGGTGGCTAAGACCATTCCGATTCCGGTCGATGGACCAGAAAGTATTGACTGGGATCCACAAGGAGAAGGTCCGTATGCTTCGGTCGTGGACGGTCGTATTCTCAAGTGGCGCGGCGATGAGCTTGGTTGGGTCGAGTTCGCATACACATCTCCACACAGGTTTTTATTATTTGTTTTATTAAAATCTTTATTAATTTTAAAAAATTATAACCGTACACCACAAATGCATAAATGAATAAACAAATAAGTTGAGGAATTTAACATTTAGACCCAAAAAAAAAAAAGTTGAGGAAAAGAAATGCAAATAGGACTCTTCATCATTTATTCATATAATACTAGGAGGACTTTGGATATGTCCCTTTGGAGTTTTGTAGTTACGTTTGGTTTTGGTATGATGTTATTGTTGTGTAAACGTTCCTTTGGATCAGTCCCAATATTTTTATTGTATATAAACTCACGTTTTTTCTGTATAAAGAGTTATAACTTAAATTTCCGTTGGTTCAATTCAGTAAATAGTTTACAAATGGAAATAGGTTGATTCATCTCTAAAAAAGTACTCCAAAGTAGATTCAAACTCGGAAGGCTACAGATTTGGGTCCGCCAAATCTTTATGGTTTCTCAACTACTCAGATGGGGGCTGAGGCTATAGAATGTTAAAAAAAAAATTTGATTTTTATTTCTTGAAAAAATAAATCATAAATCATTTTAATTAATAATCTATTATTCTTGTTGTATGTAGAGGGAATTGTTCAACGCATGAAGTAGTGCCTACTTGTGGAAGGCCACTAGGACTTAGCTTTGAGAAGAAAACAGGAGATTTGTACATTTGTGATGGTTACTTAGGTGTCATGAAGGTTGGACCAGAAGGTGGCTTGGCCGAGTTGGTTGTGGATCAGGCCGAAGGTCGGAAGGTTATGTTTGCAAACCAAATGGATATCGACGAAGAAGAAGATGTCTTCTACTTTAATGATAGCAGTGACAAGTATCATTTCAGGTATATTTAACATAAACTGAGAGAAAATTGTAACGTTTTACAACAAAGTAAATATTAGTTAGCCATATATAAATGCAAAGGAAAAAATTAGCGTTTGAGATCAATCTAAACTTATCTGTTATGTGATTTTTTTTTCTTCGGTCAGGGATGTATTTTTCGCGGCGGTGATCAGCGAATGGACTGGAAGAGTGATCAAATACGATAAAAAGACGAAAGAGGCCAAAGTTGTCATGGACAAGCTTCGTTGTAACAACGGTTTGGCACTAAACAAAGACCGGTCTTTTCTAATCTCATGCGAGTCCCCCACGGGGATTGTCCATAGATATTGGACCAAAGGTCCCAAAGCCGGAACCCGAGATATCTTTGCTAAGGTGCCGGGTTACCCGGATAACATCCGGTTGACACCGGACGGGGACTTTTGGATTGGCATACACAGCAAGAAAAGCCCTATGGGACGATGGATGTCAGGGAACAAATGGCTCGGGAAATTTGTTGCAAAGGTAGTGCCATTGAGAGTGTTGATTGATGTGATTAACGAATTCAAGCCGCATGGAATGGCCGTGAAACTCTCCGGCGAGACGGGTGAGATCCTTGAGATACTTGAGGACAAAGAAGGGAAGACAATGAAGTATGTCAGTGAGGTTTATGAGAGAGAAGATGGAAAGTTATGGTTTGGTTCTGTTTTCTGGCCAGCCGTTTGGGTTCTTGATCGCAAGTGAGTAATTTCGTTCGTTGTACGTAGTCATGTGTTTAAAAGTATTAATAAATTAAATGTCTTTTTGTCTTAAATCAATACTTTTTGGTGTGAAAATGAATTTGACCATACAGTTTCTAGAGGAGCTACATCCATCGTACCTTTTATCTAGCTAGCGACTATGTGTGATGATTTTATTTTCTATAAATATAATACAAATGTTTTGAAGGTTCTTCTAAGTTTGACATTATTTATAGTTTGCTTTTGTAATTGTGGACTATTTTGTTGTTCGTAAGACGATTTTTGTTGAAAATGGGTCAATATATTAAGGTACACCAGTCAATACAAAACAACCAGAAAAAAATGAAAAATTATATTGATATATACTAGATTTTTGATCCGTATCAAACGCGGGATTAAAATATTTTAAAATAAAACATTATATTTTATAGTGTATGGAAAAAATTAGAAATAAAAAATATATAACAATATATCTTCCATATAGATAATATATTTTATATCTAATTACCGGCGGGGAACCATCTCCCTCGGTTCCAATCGCAACGTTCACTTATTTTCTGGATGGATTTTGGAAGGATAAGGAATCCATGAGTGGGATAGGATGGGTCCTGCAATTGCAAGATGGAACTACAGACCTTGCAATTCAGGTCTTAAAGGAATGCGTCGACCCCTATGCACACAGAAATGCATAGTCTACTCTGGGCTATGGATAGTCTGCGGAGGAAGCAGCGGTACTGCTCTTTGTTCGTTACACATTCAAAAGGGTTGACTAATATGATGTCAAACACGGCAGAATAACCACGTTTTAAACCAGAATTGGATGAGTTCAAAGAACTACAAAAATATTTTCTGGAGTTTGCACTGGTGCATTGCTCGAGGGACAGGAATGGAAAAGCAGACGTACTAGCTAGGAGTGCTAGAATAAGAAAATCAGTTTTTTCAAGTATTGGTACTTCTATTCCTTATTAGTTATCAGATACATATGTATGTGTTTAATCAATAAAAGAAGTATGTCAAGACAAAAAAAATATGCATGATATTTAGATTGAATATAAGCGTTTTTAATGTTTATCGAATACGTTTGACATTATGAGTTATTTTAAATTTATTTGAGCTCACCATAGCCAAAAAATTATTATCACATTAGTATGCAAGTCTTCTT